AGTCGTAGTCGTAGTCGTAGTCGTAGTCGTAGTCGTAGTCGTAGTCGTAGTCGTAGTCGTAGTAAGTAGTAAGTAGTAAGTAGTAAGTAGTAGTAGTAGTAGTAGTAGTAGTAGTAGGTTGTTGTATCTAGTGGCAGTAGCAGTAACAGTAGTAGTGAGGTAGTAGTAGGAGTAGGAGAAGAACGAGCAAACGTAGTACCAGAACCAGGTGGATAAGCTCAGTGACACTCTCGGTCTATATGGTTGCAGTGATTTCGCGAATGATGTCGACAAACACAATGGGCGTGATGAGCCCTCTGGGGAACAGTTGTAGCCGCGATCATGCAGAAGCTGCCCCTGTAGTTGCAGCAGTAATCGACATGAATAGCATTAATCGTTGTAACACCAACAACATCCGAACACTAACAGCCATTGTCGGATTTCGACAAGCCATGTGCAAGAGTGCAAGCAATACCAGTTTTACGCAGTTTTGTGAATAAACTTATCATTGTGATAGCAGGACCAGTTGGAATCAGGTCTCCAACTGCAGAACAGGCAGCAATAGCAATAGTAACAACAGCAGTTCTATCATTAGGGATGAGCGTATCTCCGATAGTTTCCAATATCAGAATCATAATGGGCTTATGTATTACTTGTGACAAGCCCACTCGGTTCGCATCAAATCAAAGCACCGCTAATAATGTGACATGTTAATGAGAAGGTTTGGAAATCGCGCTGCTGGGCTCTGTGCGCCGCATGGACGCGATCGGTGCCAGCGACCAGACTTGGGGGGTTCTGTCTCCGATCCGAGCGTCAATCTGCATCATTGCATTAGATATGTTTATAACTTGTTGTTTTGGCCTTTGTCATTTTGTGTGTCTGTGTGTGTGTGTTGGTTTGTATGTCGTTCCCTTTCGGGGTCCGTCTGCATTTGCATGTAGCTATACTGGTAATCATGAGACATGGTAGCCACTGGTAGTCCCGCCTTACGCGCAGCATGCTGCTTTCGACTCGGGGTATCATAATTACAAGTTTGTATCGGGAAGTCAGAAACTTTCGAATCGCGCAAGCCTGTGGACCCTAGGACTTGCGCAGTTTCGGTTCAATTGCACGTCGGGATCCGTGGTGATTGCATGCAGTAAAGTTCGTAGAGCACTTGCGCACAAGCGTTTCCGTTTCTGCTTGGACTTTTGACATGTATGTGTTTGGCATCGCTCAGGCTCCGGTTCTGGTCCTCCTCCCTTTGTTTCTCCCCCCACTCCTTTTTCGTTTTTTTTCACTGCTGCTTCTGTTGTTGCTGACACTCCTGCTTCTACTCCCAGTGTGCTACCGCGACGACGGTCGCTATGACTCCATGCTGGCAGTGCCAGATCTGCTAGTGCCACGCGTTGCAAATCAGTACTAACATCGTTGGTGCTACTGTGCTATACCCGTTTCCCACCACAACTACACCGCCACTACGACTCGTACTAGTGGTACTGATGGTACTACTAATACTACCACCACCACCACCACCACCACCACCACCACCACTACTACTACTACTACTACTACGACTACTACTAATAGTAGTAATAATAATACTGCTACTGTTATTTGCTGCTACTTCGACTCTTCTTCTGCTACTACTAAACCTGCTGCGACTGCCACTCCTGCTACTGCTACTGCTACTACGACGAGGACTACTACTTCTTGTCGTGGACTGTTGCTCAAGAACCCTTGCCTCTGCTGTGCCAGGTGTACCTGGTTCATGGAGATCAAGAGCGACTCTCCCTGGTGCCTTGAATGTGCTGACTTGCACTATGGCTCCGCTACAGTTCCAAGCAGGGACAGAGAGCATTACCCTCAACACAGCTCAAGTGTACTACCCCCTTTGCCTGAGTGGCGGCTGCTGCCGCTGCCGCTGCCGCTGCTACTGCTGCTGCTGCTTCTGCTGCTTCCGCCGATCGTGTCGTTGTGCAGTGGCTGTTGAAGTGGCCACTACAACGACTCTAAGCCCTGCCTAGTTTGCATGATCGCTTTGACACGGTAGACGGTTTCATCTTTGTCACCATCGCCGTCAGCATGTTCAGTAGTGCACCACGGCAAGCCATCATCGCCTGCAGCATCCTTGTTTTCTACGTCAATGTAGTCACGGTCTCCGTCCTTGTCTTCACCCAAAAAACCAACGCAGGAGCCCCTGCCCCAGCCCTGGCCCCGAGGTACCTCTCCTGGACTTGATCAGCCACTGGACCCCCTCGGAGGCGACGCCCGAGCCCCTCGGTCCGGTTGGGAGTCATCTAGGGGCTTATAGTAATTAGAATAGGGTTTTGGGGCCATTATACTATATACTTATAATAAGCACCCCCCTAAACAGTATTGGTATTATTTAGGCCCCTTTATAAAATGTGTTAAGTAGCGATCTTATGTCGCCTCGACAATCTGAAGACCCTTCTGGCCGATTAGACAGTCAAGGATGCAGGGCATGAACGATGTAAGAGAGCACACGCGATGAGAGTGCTCCAGTGTAATGATGGTATCACCTTGAAGTCGGTTTACAGCCCAAGCCTTTTTGGCCGTCCAGCTTTGCTGCAAACAGAACTTTTCGCTCCTTCCTTTCAGGGCCTGGTCCTGCTTCTACGAGCTGCGATCGGATGCAGTGGACGTGATTGCCGAAGCATGGCTGCTTTGGAACACCGACCTTCCTCGATGAGCCCGAAACCCTTGCAGAAAGCCGGTGTTGAGAGCTCAAGCCAAGGAAAGGTCCATCGCCCGCGGCGAGGCAGGCAGCATGACGTCATCTCCTGCATCTGGTTGTGTTAGTGAGGAGAAAGCATGCTGCGCGACCGCGCTTAATCGGTATATGCATGAATGTATGCGGTTGTATGTGAGTTTCAAGTTCTCAAATGGCCCCTCCGTGCATGGTATCATCGTTTGTTTTGCACCAGTAGTTGCATCCAAAACCTGGCTGTTATGTATCTTTATGTATTTTTTCACTCTTCCGTCGTCAAGGTTTCGACGGACTCACCCTCTAGATGTTGAGCGGCGAGATGTCTCGTCATCGCGTGGAAGTCATTGGGACCGGATACTTGAGTCAACATCTCGGTCACCCCTCTCGAATCCCAAACCGCCCTTAAAGCAACGAAGAATGCCTATGGAGTGAAGAGGAGCTCACTTTACTTTTCGGCCGCTTCTCGGATGCCGAGCTCCTCTGCAGCTATGGCATTCCTGCGGGCGCGCCGGCCAGGCCTTCGGAATGGCAACCGAATGTTGGGAAACTTGCGCTCATTGCATTTGACATGTTGTCACTTCTGATGGTAGCCAAGGTAAGGGCAGGAGCTGTTGTTGCAAATCTTGCTGTGAGTATGAGTAGTAGTTTCGTTGATGGCAGTGGCTCTAGCACTACGGTGACGACGACGACTACCGCTACCTAGCACCACCACCACCGCAACCGCCAACACCAACGCCACCGCCACCGCCACCACCACCACCACCACCACCACCACCACCACCACCACCACCAGCTCACCAACACCACCACAACTACCAACAGCAACACCAACACACAACTTGCTTCTACTTCTACTCCTACTGCTACTGCTACTGCCTACTACGACGACGACTACCACTACCACCACCACTGCTGCTGCTGGTGCTGCTACTGCTACTGCTACAGCTACTGCTTCTACTACTGCTTTTCCTGCTGCTGCTGTTGCTGCTGCTGCTACTACCATTACAAATGCTAGTAACACTAGTATGTTTGCTGCGAGCACATTTGTTTGATATCGAAGTGTGAGCAAAGATCCAACATATTTAAGTCGCACATCTATTTAACCGAAGTTATAGGGGGTATGCCGCCCTCGCATACGCGTTGATGCATTTGCTTCCACATGCTTCCACTTCGGTTAATCAGCTGCCACCGGAGACTTGGTTGATGATTCATGTCGTCAGCTTCGCATGGCGAAAATATTGACAACGTTGCAGGAATGCCTTCGATGAAGCTGGGGTCGCCATTGGCCCCTATGCCACTTCGGAGTTGACAGACCTCTGGTTATGGTCTTGGTTTCGGGTTCAGGGCTCAGGTTTTGTTGCCTTGAACGGTTGGAAGGTTCAGGATGTAGGCAGCTACAGGATGCCCCAGTCCGCTGAAGTGGCCAGATGCTGGCAGGGCGTTAAGGCACAGGGGCCTGAAAGACTAGGCGTGCAGACTTTTCCTAGATTGGTATGTACCTGGTAATAGCATGCCGAGCGACGTTGTTGGTCGCATAGGGAGAATGTGTGACGCTTCGGAAAACCGAGCGACAAGCCTAAACTCAAAGCTTAAAAGCCGTCGCGTACGCCCTCAAAGCCTTGAGCCCTGAATATAAGCCCTTAGGATTTCGGGGCTTTCTGGCTCCTCTACGAGCTCCTTTGAGCCTTCCTTTACCGCTTCCTCAATAAGTGTTTGATAGGGTGTTTAGAAACCCTATAAGCCCTTCAAACCCTATAAGCCCTAGAAAACCTAAACCCTAAAAGCCCTAAACCCTAAAACACTAAACCCTAAAAACCCTAAACCCCAAAAGCCCCAAATCCTTAAAAACCCTAAACCCTAAAAACCCTAAACCCTAAAAAAACCCTAAACCCTAAAACCCCAAATCCCTAAAACCCTAGACGATATATAGACTCAGGTTCTCATGTCGCCTCCGGATCCAGAGCAGCCAAGGCCAGGACCGCCGCCGGGTGCCAAAACCGTCTTTGACTGTCGGGGTTTAGCGTTTTGGGGTTGAGGGTTTAGGGTTTATAGGGTTTAGGGTTGAGGGTACCCGGGACTGTTGGGAAGAGATTCTACTGGAACCCTTGAGTGGAATGGTTTACGGTCATCACTGAGTCATACCAGGCCTTCCAAGAGGCCCTGCCCGCATGTTACAACTCAGTTTGGTTCCCCCAGAGCACGTGTCTGCGCCAGCCAGCTACCTACCGATTTACCCGCCTTACATACAGACATTCGTACGCATAGATACACCTGGGCAAAACACAATGTGTGTGTGTTCAGCTTTCACCCTGATATCTATTGTGGCTCCGTCTGTGTACACATTTGTACATCCGCTTGGAGGGCCAGCAGCGGGTGCGCGGTTGCGTGTGTGTGTGTGTCAATTTGTGTTACAGCTGTTGCTGTCTGTATACACACCCATTTCGCCGAGTCTTGAGCATGACATGGCTGAAGTCGAAACCCCCCCTCCCCGGGCAATACGCAGTGCAAGCTCTCAGACAACACACTGAAACCCAGACTGGGTAGATGAATACCGCATGGCCAATGACTGCGCACGTCGGGATTGCAAGCAGCCTAAATCCTGTCCATGACAAAATTCCTTGTAGCTAAGCACCACAGGCCTCCAGATCCATCACTTGTGTCCGCGCGGGCGGCTGCTTGGGTGTGAAGTACAGTTTACGGCTATCACCTAATTCTAAGCCGCCTGCCCTGCAATTTTCTCCGATCCTCCACATAAGTTGTATTGGGGTTTTGAGACCTGTTTGGCTCAATCCCCCCGCACCCTAGACCACTTATCGTTTCCTGGATTCTCAATTGGGTCTCTGTAAAGCAGAAGGCTCCTGCCAAGACGTTCATTCGAAACCCTTGCTCCCAGTCCTACCTGTTTTGGACAAGCAGCCAAGCAGAGCCCAGGCATGTCTTACACGACATGGCTGGTCCAGCTTGGATAGCTCCCTGCTTTTCACATTGCCGCAAGACTTGCGCCCTTCGGGTGGCCCCGTGTTTGCATTGATAAAGGCGGCGGCGAATGATGGTTTTCGGTCTACAGTACAGAGCTTAGGGCCTGTATGGGGCTACAGAAGAGGAACAGCTCACATCGAAATGGACAGCCGGACGGCTGACTGTGTTGGGCAAGCGGTACTGAGAAGAGTTTATGCCCGAAAACCGATTCTAGAGCTAGGGTGCCAGTTTCCTCAGGGCGCAGAGACTTCACAGGAAGTTCAGGCAAGTGGGTTGTAGATCCATGTTCGCTGCTCCGATCCTGAAATCACCCAGGCCTGTCCGGCAGTCTCCCCAAAAAATGCCGTGTCCTCAGGTATGTTGGCATTGTCGCGACTTCTCGCACTGAAGTCTGCTGAAGAGATCACGGAGCTCCTTGGCTAGTCTGCAAAGTTGAGCCTCAAGGAGCATCGCAACCCGAGCAGCTACCAATCTTGCGCCAGACTTAGAGTATGCCGCTCCGTTGATTTACCGCGCAAACACACACATGGAACGACAACAGGCAAGGTGGTGCAGTTTCTGGTTAAGTTGCCGACCAAACAGGAACATGTTCGGCCTACATATAGCATGAGCTGCCAGTTCCCAGGATGGAAGACGTGATCTTCTGGATGGACACCCCAGGCACGAAGACGGTGCTTCCAGCATCAACCGTTCCTCATGCTCTTAACTCTCGGCTTCCAAGCCCCACAGTTGCGTGTTTCGTCCATGTACGATTCTTGATTGTTGTAGATTCCCCTCCCCCAGCTCCCGGACACTTGCCTCAAAGCACTGATGCCTAGGACCTAGGACCTGCGCTGAACTCCTAAACTGCCCAACCCAAAGTCCGGAAAGCACGAAGCCTTCAGCTCCGAACATCCAAGCTTCGACGAGATAGGAGACCCTAACCCCCATGTACCTACTTTCTAGGGTACTAGAGCCCCTAAAACCCTATATAGTAGGTACCTGGGGGGTTAGGGAGAGTGTTGCGCAAGACAGCAGACAGCATCAAAGAACAAAACGCATCAGGCGCGGAGGCGCCGAAGCGGCTTGGCCGAGGGCTTGCCGAGCAAAGCAACTGGGATCTGAGCTTGGGAGGAATTTCGGAATTCCTCAAAGGTGGCAACGTTTGCGATGCGAAACATACGGATAACTTGCAGCAGTGTGACTGTTGCGGTGGTGGCCGTCGTCGTTTCTGGGAAACTGAGGCTGGCGACGAGTTGAGGGGTGGCTGCAGGAGGCATACAGCACGGGGTTCAATGTGACCATCTTATTCCGTGATGGAATGTTGACATGTATGTATCCCAGAACACGTGTGCATTTTGCCGGCACTAGCACGTGGCCTGTGGAACAGAAATCGCTCGCCTGCGTCAGTCCAGTAGACCTGCCATGTCGTCGCACAGTCTCAGGTATCACTGCCGTCTTTTACCATGTTGCATGCTGACATTGACTTCTCTGCCCAGAGTTCCTAGCTGCGTTCACGGCCGAAAGAGCAGTTAAACCCTAAACCCCTAAACCC